GGTATATATTTATTGAACTATCCAGTTACTTAAAAATTTGTAACTATATGGGATATAAATTATGAAACAACCTAGAGAAAAGTCTATCTAGAAACATTTTAAAATGGTTGTAGCATTTCGCTAGTGTTACGTTTCCTCGACGTTTCATAACTTCTAGATTTTGAAAAGTAGGTCCTCATTCTCATCTGTCTGTCATCTATTGGCGATTTTATTAGCATAATAGGTAATTTCCGCAACTACTGGACTGATAATTATGAAGTGTGCAAAATAATATCCTTTTATAGCGGTGGTTTATTAAAGCAGCCTTATGTTTAACACTGCAGAAAAATACAACATTATACAGTTTAACTTATAAATATAATTACAAAATAAGGTTTAAAATTTTAAACTAGTAAATCGCGAATAAGAATTTATCTGTCCATACAATTTGATGACGTCATTTAAAAATTATTCAAAATCCTTATCATTTTCAATGTTTAGGAAAGCATGCTTCTATACATATCTATAGTTTCTTCATACACTCTTTATTTGTTTGAATTGTGTTCACACCTCTCAACAAATTGATGCACAAATTAATTTATGATATTGTTTAAATAAAAAAAAACTTATGTCATTTTCCTGAAATTCTAGTAACACAGAGTAAGAAGTTTATTAAAAAATTGATGACCTCATTACAAAATTTTGCTCATTTGTTTGTAGCTTAATAATCGACCTCTCTTTTTTTTTATTATTTTAACTTAGCGGGATGATCATAACTAAAAAAAATTTTCAAAATCAAATTTTATAGTTTATCTAAGAAGCTAAACTTGTTCAATTGGTTGTGCTTCAGGGCCGAGGGAACTTCGACTAAACAACTTTGGAGCAATATTTTTCCATGGTTTTATTTCATGAAGCAATAAATAAAAATGGTTTGATAGTAGTTGTATGTATTAACATTTGGATTTTGATTTTATTACTTCTCGAGCGTAAGCTAAGGAAATATGTATTGTAATAGGGTCCATCCGGCGAATGACTACTTTCATGTTTCCGTAACGTTTCATGACGTGTAGAGTGGGACAAAAATAGGTTTACCGTTTCCGTTTGTCTGTATGTCTGTTTATCTGTGTTGATTTTTATTAGACAGACAATCTACGAAGCTACTGGACCGATTGCTATAAAATTTTCCACGCCAACAATGAAATGTCGTAAACATATTTTTTTTATTTTTTGCAGTAACTTCTATTTACTTTTATAAGAACAAAGTCCTACACTTGTAGTTTATGAGTCCGCCTTAATTTTTATCACAATTACTTTACAAAATTTTTATGCAATATTTATCACGAGTGGACGTGTGGATTTCTGCGCGCCTTAGTGAACAATATGGCATTCTTTGGTGATTGTTAAATTAATTTGATGTTGATAATGAAACACTACATATGTTCAACGAGGTAGTAGGCAACAGCAAACGTAAAACTTAATGAATACCCATTACCATTACTAACAAACCAAATGCTCTAAAACTGTACCTTCGCAGCGAATAGAGGCAATTATTGAAAACATTATAAATATATTAAAATACAACATTTTAATGTAATTTTTCTTCGTTAATAATAACATAATTGGATAAAAATATATGTATTGGGTCAACAAACCAGTGCATTCGAAGTGAGCAAATTGCAAGAATAAGAAAATCCATAAAGAAAAGATAATACATAAAATCAAGATACGTTTTAACAACATTGATCATGCTTTAGGTGCAGTGTCGCTGTACTATATTTTAACAACTAAAATAGTTGCCATACTTGTTATCCTATTTATTTATACCAGTGCAGTGAAGTCAGCAAAAAAACCGAAACATATAACTCTAATTTTAAAATTTTCTCCAACTTCTTTTCTTTGCATTTAGAGATTCCCAGACAGTATAATTTATAACTTAATCAACGGCTGTCGCGACAACAGCGTCAATTAAGCTGCCTGTTACATTTAATTAATGTGTCAATTTTTTTCGTATGGTGTTGCCGGAAACATCTTATTCCAGATTGATCGGCGTTTTAAAGATGTATTTATATTTGTCATGTACTGAATTATACTTTTCACACTAACAATAACCCAGTATGAATAAATAATAACAATATGTGATTGTGCGATAACGGTTACAACACAGTAAAATAGAAATCGTAATAACTATTCCTAAAGAAAGTTTTACATTGATCAACTGCTGCAATTTTCAATGAAAGCTGCGTAATTTATGTTATTATAATAAGTAGAAACACTCAGACGGTGCATATGTGCCGGCTTGAATTTCTTCTTATTTTACATTTAAAATGAGAAGATCGTAATCTCATGAAGTGTTGTAATTTCAGATTATTGTCAGTAATTATTAGAGTACGAATTAACTTAGCTAACCACAAATGTGTTTCTAAGAAAACTGCTTGATTCTTCTGGGATTATATAATAATAAAAATAAACCCATTGCTTTTGTAGGCGTCTACAAATTTGAAAATATTAATTAACATCAAAGACCGAAATGTTTGGACTATGAGATAAACACAGCACTTACTGCTGAAAAATTGAAGCAATTGTACTTCAGTGGTGTGCTGCAAGGATGCTTAAAACAGATGGGCGTATGAACCAATTGATTTATCAATAATTATTTCAGAAACACTTCATCTAATTTTTCTGATTTTTGAAACACAATCGAAAATTATTCTAGAACGAAATATGAATGTTTTGAGTGCATCATACCATTTCTAGATACGTGATTAATAAAAGTAAATTTGTCAAAATATCACACTTGAATAAACTAAAAGTAAATAATATGAAGAATTAGTTTACATTTCTCGGACCCTAATAAAACAATAAAAAAGAAAATCCCGTTTTATGAGGACATTAGACCGTCACATCAACGGATATAAACCCGTCTTAATTAGTGACGAATGGTTAGTTAGGTTGTATATAAATTTTATTTGCCTTTTTACCAATGAATTATGTATGTTAAGTGCTTCACTACTCCGTAAATACCTAGTCTATTATTACAATATCTATATTTCTAACCAACATAATCAATATGAGGATGCAAATTAAACGTGTAGCTCGTCATTTCGTAAAAAAATTTAAATTATCGCTGCTCGTCAAACAATGTACTTTATTTATTAACATAAAACATATTTATTTTCACGAATGACAAATACAGTAAAACATCTTTGTCGTGAAACATAAGCGTAACTGACTAAACTGTGTTTGCTCGATGACTGTGGATGTCATCTAAATTTATAGCAGCATTTATTTAAATTTGTGTCTCGGCATAATGCTAAAAAAATCTACAACGCAGAGTTTTACCGAGAAAATATGGACAACTATGCATTTTGTCGACATGGGAAAAGGGGAACATTTCGTATTACGTACGAATATAAATAAAAGTAGGAAATCTTCAATACGTGTCAGTCTTGCGTTGGCTCTTTTTGTACCAAGGCACAGAATCGTTTGATATTTATTGAATTATAAAATGGTCCATCCCAGACATACATCTACCAATGATTTATTTTTATGCATTGTACATGTTTAAATTTGATGAACCATTTATAGATTTGGTACTTGTGTTGAATATGCAGTGATTTTAAACCAAAACATTTGTTTTGTTTAAATTCAAAGTAGAAAAAGATCAGATTTAAGTTGTAGTCAAAGTATTGTTGTTAATTACTTGAGTGGCCCTGTAAATCACTTTGTGATTACGAATGTGAGAGAAAAATTTTGCGGTATTAAACTGTGTTATTACTGATATTAAATATACTATTAATAAATATCATAAGATCGTGCATTTAATATTCCACGTATTTCCTGATGACATTTAGAATTTTATTTTAGTTTATGGAAAGTTGCAGATTTATTTTATACGTGTCTTACTTGCACGTAATGAGGTAGTTATTTCCTTTTTTGCTACTAATGTTATCAGTATGATAAAAATCGTATTTTTATGTTGTTGATAAACAAGTTACATGTCGGTATAAATTGACATCATTTTATAACAGTGATAATAAGAGATAGATTTTGTTTGAAACGAAAGCAACATACAGGTATTGATTTTTGGGCAAATATTATAAATGATAAGTAGATATTAACATAAAAAATGATTGCAAGTATAAATTAGCGCTGCATATTGCGACATATGCAAAACCGAGAGATATTCTTAATTAAAATTTCCTTAATATAATTACTAAAATTATGTAACACTGGATGTAAAATTTGGCTTATTTGAAATAAGGAAACAAAATTCTCTTAATATAAATATTAACAACAAAAACTTGTTCAGACATACTGAAAAATGAAGGTATGCTTGAATAATACACAGTGGTAAGTATTATACTAGATGTCATGTCATTGAGCATCATTTGCCTCCATTTTCGATTTTATATTTTATAAAAGATGAAAATCCTTCAGAACTTTCGGGACAAGGTTTATCATTAATAATAAATCATGCAATTACCGTCTTGCATTTCCACGACACTACTGTGTCTATGTTCGTAAATTTTTTATCTTAATTAAACAAAGTAATTACTTCCGCGCAATTGTCGTAGATTGTCAGTACTTAAAAATTTAATTTTGTGTACATTGTTTATTATTAATACTAAAATTAAACACACAATTTATAATATAAAATGATATAGATTGATATCTATTCTGTTGTATGTATACTAAAGATATTATTTTTGTTTACTAATAAAATTTTATGGCCTTATTAGTGTCATTTAAGCACAATGGTTGAACAACCTTCTCGGTGCGGATCTTCGTCCATCAGACGTCGCTGACTGCTTAGAAATCTGCGTAACTTCAGGGCTGTACTCAGGAAAATACTTGTTCGACGGTTAAATGCTGAGATAACATTATTTCATAGATTTAAAATTCAAGCACATACATGTAAACTCAAAGAACAAGGTCTCAGTTAAATTAGAAAATAAGTAATAAAGTAGAACAAATCTGATAATTGTAGTCTTAATTCGACATATTTTTTTTTTTAATTCCAGGCAAAAAATCCAGTGGACGGAGTAATTCCTCTCTATCAAGCAGGGAAAAGGAGTTCCAAAATTGGAAGCGGCGAAAAAGCTACGATCCAATGAAAGCAGCTGCGGAAGGGAAAAAGAAAGAAATGGCCAAAAGACAAAACATCATGACACAGTCATACACTGAGGCCAATCAGAATCAAGACTGTGATAGTTCCCCGTCCCATTCCAGTTCAGTGCATCGCTCCCAGGTACGTAAATGTCAACAATAAAACAATTGAATACATTTGACAATTAGCTTTTCTTTTTCTACTTGATGACTAAATTGTGTCACTTTGAATTTTAATTAGTAAAGCAGTTGATGAATACAGTGCACGTTCGATTTCTATGCTAGGTTACTATCCTAAATAACATGGTGGAAGGAAACTTCTGACTAGAGAAACTACAAGTAGATCGTCATTTTTTAATTAGTTGTTCGTAAGTTTGTTTTTAAGCACAATCTATACTTAACAACCACTCACATTGATTTTCTGTCTTTTTGCCACTAACGCACTAACACCCATGGGTTGAAGTTAACTTTGTTTTTTTTTTACACAAGTCACACTAATTCTGTGCAATATTTTATCACTACCTGTAGGCGAACTGGTGTCACTGCATCTCACGAATGTCCCACTATTAAGACCTGTTGTTGCTTATAGGTAGATTTTTATTTAACATTAACAAATGTGACTCGGGATGATTTTTCCGAATGTATGTAGATATTCAACGTAAAAAAAATCGTTCTAGTTGTGATAACTATAGAAATACGTTGTGTATATAAATTCGTCAGTCATAATTTTAGCATTGAAAATACCAATACAAATAATTTATAAACAGCGCATAGTTTGTAAGTCACATCCTGCATAACCATAATGGACCTCCTTCTGTAATAAACTGCGGTTTTTTACCGATTTTGATATTAAGTGATGTCACTCATTAAAAAAATCATTAATAATTAATTAGAATTGATGTTATTTGGTTTAAGTAATTTATTATTTATATATAATACCTCGCTATGAGCAATACGTACGTTGTGTATAGCCGGTCGCCAGTTTTTTACCATCACCTCACTAAATATAGGGCCACTAACGACTAGTTAGCTAATTAATTAATTAATTAAGTGAAGTGTATTTTCTCCTGAAAAATTTGTAAAAGAAAGTTTGATATACGCAGGCATCATGTACACTAAGTTAGAGTATGCTCTGTTTATAAATTATCGTTTAAATGTTAATCACACATTTTTAATTTTACACAGTGGCGACGAAATAGTGCATCAAATGTAATAAAATTTATAACGTAAGGATAACGATAAAAGAAAGTAGCCTTATAACACATTTGGAAGCTTTATTTTTAGTAATAGGAATGTCTACATCCGTTGCTATCACGATGGTTAAATTTTGAGTTGCAGTTCAACATTACAGAAATAACTATTCTATAGTACTAAGGGTAGTTGTTTATTTAGTTTTTTTCACTAACTGTTGTAAGAAATTGATTGATTCAGCAAGTAACTTTTCGAACACATTAGACAGCATAACCTAAAGTAAATGCTTTTATAAATTGGGTGTTCAGTTCAATTATAGGCTTCCAGATATATAATCGGAGAAATCCAGATATAGATGCAGAGATCAAAGGAAAGTAAAGCTTTTAATTTGTACTGTGAAGTTGCTCTTTATTTTTAACAGTATTTTTACGCAAAAAAATATTGCTTTTGGAGTATTATTTGATCGCCACTCTGTTTGTTTTAGAATATAGATTTTTTTAACTGACTGTAACTGTCAGCAATATTTATAATATGAAATTCATTTCAAACCTATTGGAAAGACAGTTTTATTTTCATAATTTTACATTTAAAAAAATTAAAAAGTTATTATTTTTGTTAGCGTGATTTTAATATTACTGTCGTTTCCTGTATTTAATTTATTTCGTTGTTTCGTTACATGCTCGACTTTTTGTGTTGATCAAATTTTTTCAGTTCTTATGTCTAGTTATTGTCAAAAAAGATGAGCTTGTAATGTGTGTAAATATGTCAGAATGTCCTAAGAACAAAATATCTGAAAATTAGGGCGGTGTCTTTAAAGTGGGAACAAAGAAATCAGAGGAGCTTTTCATTTAAAATGGTTTAGTAGGTAGCAGTATCCAACAGTGCGGCAATACCGAGTACGTTTTTTTTTCAGTTTAGCTTTGGTAAAATTTTAACTTAAATTCAATGCAGTCAAAGAAATGAGGTGACAAAATTCTGACTGTTATTCCTGGTAAATTTAATATTTTTGTACTGTTTTTTTACACTGTGGTTGTAATTTGTAAATAGTTATAAAATCAAAAATTCTTATCAAACTTTGTGCGTCACTTGATATTTATATTTTCATACATCATGTGGTTGGTATTAATATTAATATCATACGAAAGCACTCCGTGGAATTAAGGAAGTTTACAAACTTTTACTACCAACTTTAAGTGAACATATTCATTTTAGCGTTGAGAATGGCATCACGCAAACAAATATTACCAACTTTATCGTACATGACGTTATCAAAGAAGTGAGAGAATAGAATAGAATTGTGTTTGATCAAAACCTAATATAAAAATAATCGATCCTCAAAATGGTCCTCTACTTGGCGCTGGATTTCTGTCTTGTTAATTTCCCGTTGTGAGTAATAGGATGACCAGAAAAACAGGTTGCTCGTCCGATGCCAGCTTAATAAATCTGCTACGGCACTTGGCTATCAGAAATGTAATATATTTTGCTTATATTTGTAGATTTGCCAACATTTAACATTCGTGTCTAAAGTCTCAGACAATAGCGCACACTTGACTTGTCAAAATTTTGAAGCTTTAGCCACTACATTTAAGTGTCAAAAATAATGTAAATATGAACATTCACTTGTGGCTAAAACCTTATAATATACGAATCTCCTGAAAATTTTTACGCAAATGGCGTTCTTTGTCGTTAAGGGTGCCCAGTAGCAGACCGAAAAATGAGCTAAATAGAATTTCATTTTACGGGCGTAATTTCAACTTTGAAAAAATTGGTCTAAAGAGTTTAGACAGTACTTCCCTCGCTGTCGGAAACTTGACGACTGCATGGCTATTGTGTTTTTTTCTCATTACATTTTTGTAGTGGGAATTTAAAATTGCGATGACGTCATCAACATTTTTGCAAGGACACGTATATCAGTTGGGATAGATGTAGTGTAATACTAAGAATAAAATTATTGTATTCCCAAATTTTCGGGAAAATGAATTGGGTCGTTTTGAATATTGATTTTTTATAATCAATAAAATAACGAAACAATTTACTCACGTATACGGCAACTGAAAATCGTTTATGTATAAACATTCTTAATTTAAGATGACAAGCGTAACAGCATACGTGAGAGCCAAACAGAGAAACTGTAAACAAAACGACCATCGGTTTTATTGCTTCGACTTCCGCTTATTATATAAAACATTGGGTTTTATTTTAATTCTTGACGGTGAAATTCAGAATTGGTTGATTATAAACATGTCTATTTCACATTCGCGGAACCAAGTGAACAAATGCAGGTCTGTAATGTTAAAGTCGATGTAAATAAGCGTGCTACCCTTATGTTTCAACCGAGTTTTTCCTTTAACAAATTTTGTGTCTACCAAATTGGGTTGGTTGGGGTGTAATACTAATAATAAGTGTTGCCTTTAATTTAATCAATAAAATAAATTGACTTCATTAATTTTTTTTGAATCACCTCTTAAGAAAATCTAAAAAATATGATTGGAATGATAAATCACAAGTACAGACTCATCATATTTTGTACATTTTAGATACGATTTATTCGGCAAACTTTTGAGCTGACGTCATCAGTTTTTTGTAGAAGATAACCAAATATATTTTGACTAAAAATTTATCATGCTCTTTATAACCTTAAAACATCTGCAAGATTTCAAAGCATTCGGTTTTGTAGTTCCTGATTAAATCAATAAAATAAATTTACGCATTCATTAATTTTTTTGAGTCACCCTGTATATGCAAATCGAAAAAATTTGAATGGAATGATAAATCACAAGAAGAGACTCACCATATTTTGTACATTTTAGATAGGATTTTTTCAGCAAAATTTTGTGGTGACATCATAAATTTTTTAGGGGGGACGACCAAATGCGTTTTGATCAAAAATTTACCATGCTTATGATAATTTTAAAACATCTTCAAGATTTCGAAGCATTCGGTTTTGTAGTTCCTGAGTAAATCAGTAAAATAAATGTACGCTTTCATTTATTTTCTTGAATCACCCTGTATATGCAAATCCAAAAAATATGAATGGAGTGATAGATCACAAGTACAGACTGATCATATTTTGTACATTTTAGATATGATTTATTCGGCAAATTTTCGAGCTGACGTCATCAAGTTTTTGGAGGGGATAAGCAAATATATTTTGACTAAACATTTATTATGCTCTTTATAACCTTAAAACATCTGCAAGATGTCAGAGCATTCCGTTTTGTAGTTCCTGATTAAATCAATAAAATATATTTACGCATTCATTAATTTTTTTGAGTCACTCTGTATATGCAAATCCAAAAAGTATGAATGGAGTGATAGATCACAAGTACAGACTCATCATATTTTGTACATTTTAGATATGATTTATTCCACAAACTTTTGAGCTGACGTCATCAAGTTTTTGGAGGGGATAAGCAAATATTTTTTGACTAAAGATTTATGATGCTCTTTATAGCCTTAAAACATCTGCAACATTTCAAAGCATTCTGGTTAGCAGATTAAAAATTAAATTTCAAAATGTTGTTTTATAATTTTGATTTTTTTTCCAAAAATCTGGGCGTTTCGGGTGAAAAGTCGATTCAGAGTTGTAAACTACATGTGTAGGACTATGTTATTTTATACAATTGAAAACCCATTTACTATGTACAATTTTGAAGTGACGTCATCGCATTAGTGGTGGGGATGATTAGACAAATTTTGGTTAGCGTTTTACCATCTACATGATATTCTTAATATAAGTACAAAATTTCACAACAATCGGTCGAGTACTTTCGGAGATTATCTGTCTAATAAAAATCCGGGACAACAGACGGACAGACGGACGGACAGACGGACAGACGGACAGACAGACGGAAATGGGAGACCTATTTCTTCGTCTTCTAGGGGTCATGAAAGATCGAGAAAACGTAAAAGTAGAGAGTCGGCCGACGGACTCGATTACAATACTTCCTT